CACTCACTATTAATTCCGGTAAGAGGCGCTGTTGTCTCAAAAACAGTCGTGTGAACCAACTCGCTTATGTACTATGTGTATGTCAAAACTTAGTATTCGTACCTCTCTATTAGTTTTTAAAGTTTGCGAAACAAATATATGCAATATAATATAATAATCATAATCACTTGGATTAGAAAACTGTTTACGTTATCGTTCAATTTATAATGAGTCTAGTCCTCTTTTTTATATTTTTAGACATATAACAATGTAATTGTAATAAATTTTTAGATATATAATAAAGTAATAAAAATAAATAACTAATCAAAAACGAGTATGTCGATGTCGATTTTGGCTAACATTGCGAACGATATCACTATAGATAATAGACGTCTCTTGGAAAGTAACGTCACATATAATAGTACTACAATAGGGATGTCATTTTTTCTAGTAAATCAGAAGATAAGAGTGTACTTACTCTCTTAATTAGCATAGTATAAAGATACCAAAGATGACCACTTCACATTTCTATATGCACGCATAAATTACACGCAACAACTTGCAATAGTTTGTCTCTTTCTGTCATACCTCAAAATTAAATTAAAAAAACTAGATAAGTGTATTAACTCAATTTATGTAGGAAATGTAACGTATACAAACTCTTACTCCTGTTACCTAAAGGAGTAGGCAGAGACTACGGACTTCCATTTGGCATCCCGACACACCTCTCCCACTTCTTTCATATCAATATACCTACACATACACGCTCGTCGGTTAAAAGAACTCTTAATTTGGCTCATCTTCAATAGATTATTGACTACTACAATTTACACTTATATATAATAACTTGAAGGCTACACTACACTACAACTCCCACCACAAAAAACTAAAAATATAATGATAGAAAATGGCAAAAGTTTAGAGGTGCAATACTGCGGGCAAATTGTCTCCGCATTGGAAAATAATTAGTTTTCATCAGTTAAATGTCACAAAATGTTACTGACATTTCTTTTGACAGATTTTAAGAAAAAAGTAAAGGAATAGTTTTCGTAGTTTGAATCTATTGAAAGTTGCCACACTAGGAAAAAAAGGAAGAATACAGTTATTCGTTGCTACAATTTTAAATATAAAATAGAAATAAAAATACAGAAACTAATAACTAAATAACAACTCAAAAAAATACGAAGTTCTCACTAGATTACTGTAATAATAAGGTCTGGTTTCTGATGATGGTAATGCTGTTAGCTTTTAGGCTTTTACAACTTAATAGGTCTCAGGGCCTTTCTACGAGGGTGAATTTTAATCGATCCGCATCGTTACTTACGTAAAGATGACTCCTATGGCAGTGTACAGTGCACGTGGGTGAGTTATCTAACGGCCGTCCGAGCAAGCTATGGCGGGTCCTGGCTCTGACGGTTAACTCGTATCGTTCGATGTTTGGGCGGTGAAAACCGCCTAGGGACGCGGGTGTACGGTGTATACGCGCTGTAAAGTGGTGTGCGGCGCGCCCGTCTGCGGACTCGTTGCGTCCCATCCGTTGTCGTAACAGTCTTTGTGGCACTCGGTGGATGCGTAGTTTATTTATTTATTTTTATTTATTTATTTATTTCCCACTATACCATTATCTTTACAGGTTTATCACCTAATGCGATAATGTAGACAACTATTTTTACCAACTCCAACTACACCGTTACAAGCTAATAATTTTCGATTATAAATATGTACTTATTGCTATTTCAAACACCGTATCTATGTCACAGTAGGACCATAGCTAATTTCAAATAGAGCTCTTACTATGAACCCACCCAGAGTACAACAAAATAGATCTATGTCTTCTACTATATGGTTGAGGATACGGAGGGCGCGCGTAAACGGCACTTCAGTCACCAGCTTAATGCGGCCGGGTGGCACAGCTAGCAGCTGCGCCCGCCGCCGCCGCCACACGTATCTGTCCGGAACACATATGCCCACTTGTTGCAATACGTCTGGATTGTGAATCTTTCCCCTCATCACATTAAAGATATATGAAACAAGCGCTAAATTCCTCTTAACCTTTAGCTCATTGTATCCTACCATACCTAAGGTGAATAAGGTAGGATAGTTATTTGGGTAAAATGGGTATACTCCATACATTTTTGATATAAATATCTAATAAATGTTGGAGAGAGTGCAGAATACTGCACTCTCTCCAACATGATACCATACTTGGTTTCATGTGGAGACCAGATGACCGCGTTGAATTCTAATTGGCTCCTCACTAAAGAATTATATAATGCAATAACTGCCTTTATATTAGTGAAGTTCCTAGCTACCCGTAGTACGAGTCCCAAATTTCTGTAGACTTTCTTACAGATTTGGGTTATATGCTCTCAAAATTCTAGTTTAGAGGAGAAATTAACGCCTAGATCTTTGACTTTTGACACCTTCGCTACTGGTACCCCGTTAATCTGGTATTGGTACGTAACTGGAGACAGTACACGGCTGAAAGTGATAGTTATGCACTTCGTGATATTAAATTGTAAGTTATTATGTTTGCTCCGGGTTACCACCCTATCTATATCTTGTTGTAAGTTTTGGCAATCCTCTCTGTTCCTAACAGCAAGATACAGTTTCAGGTCATCTGCAAATAGAGTGCAATGAGCATCTTTGACAACCGTCGGATAGTCATTTACCATCAATATGAATTGCAATGGACCGAGTTTGCTGCCCTGACGCCTTTGAGGGTTACAGCAATCACTTACCACCAGGTCGACTGTGAACTCGTTTGTCTTTTTGTTCTTTGAGCTAGTTCAATAGTTTTCAGACCTACACCCCGTATATTCTACATACTGCTGTCCGTCCCGCATATAACTAGCAAAAAATGTTAGTAAATGGGGAGTAAATCCTACGCCTGCCAGTTTTGTTAGCAGTATGTTATTATCCACTGGGTCGAAAGCTTTTTTGTAATCCAAGAAAGCTACTTCTGCCTGTCCTCCAGCATCCACTTCAGGTACAATATAATTCATATAATTAATTAGGTTGCTGGTGGTGCTTCCGTCGGGTCTAAAACCATGTTGCTCATCTGAAAGCTGTACATTAACCTGCGAGAGTATGCTCTTGTATACTGCAGCCTCCAATACTTTAGCTGGTGTCGAAAGCACAGCAACCGGCCTGTATTGGTCCACGTTTGATGCTGACTTTCCTTTGGGTACTGGGACGACCTTGGTTGTTTTCCATCTTTCTGGAAACATTGCCTCTACCAGGTACTGATTAAAGATGTAGAGAACTGGCTTACAAAGTACTAGTCGGCAGTCTTTGAAAATGTAGGGCGGTATGCCATCGGGTCCCGTTGACTTTTTTGGCTTGAGTTTTTGCAGAGCGTAAAGTACTTCATCAAGCTTTAGTTGTTCCAAGTGTACCCTAGCCGCTCCATTCTCACCACCAGCCTGTTTCACTGCCGCCTCCACGTCCAGCTTAGACATCTTAGGGCTAAATACTGAACAAAAATACTGAGCAAACTCAGTAGCACACTGCTCACTAGTAAGTACCTTATCATCTTTTAAAATCTTGCGTTGACATCTGCTGTCTTTTTTTTTGAGTTAATGTAAGCCCAAAACGCCTTTGGATTTTCTTGAAACTCACTATGCATCCGGTCTTTATAATTTTTGTACGTGGAGTTTATTAAATATTTTACATACGTTCTACACTTAGCAAACGCCTCATAATCGGCCCCTGATTTGCTAACTTTAAACTGACTATGAAGCCTAACCTTTAATTGTATGTTGCGAATAATGTCTATCGTGTAGCACTCGCGGTAACTGTACTCCGAGTTTACACGTCTTCGCTTTTTTCTTGGAACGCAGTCATCCACAACTTTGTTTAAAACCTCATAAAAATAATCTAAACTACTATTTACATCTAACCTATACATTGGCATCCAATCTATTGCCGCTATTGACGAACATTAACGAAAAGTTTGCTTTATAGAAGTTCCATCCAGTACGCGTGTGGGTGCTCCCCTCAGACTCAGCAAGCAACGACGCGGGCGCGGGCTGCCCGCCGTACCGCGCTCGCCCCCGCAGTAGCGAGCGGCGGATGACGTGGGTCGGGCGGCACGATTGGTTCAGCCGCGCGCACCTCCAACCCGTCTTCCACTGAACGCGTGCTCAAAACAAGATCTAATTGTCGTTCATTGCAATTTCTTATTTTGTTGTACTGGTTGAATTCACAATATGTGCAAAAGTACTCAAAATGATTGCGTACATTTGTTGAGCTAGAATATAAATTAAAATCGCCTATCACTATTAAATCATTGTAGTTATCACGATAATTTTCCATTATACTAAACAACAACATGTATTCATTATCACTACAACTCGGTGGAATGTATACTACACACAACACAAACATGAACTTATTTTTTTAGATAAACCGCAGCGCTAACCAGTTCAAATGCGTGATCTTGAATACGTACATTGTTCGGGGTATTTAGTTGCCGCAGCTCGTATCGTATGTGGCCGCTAAACACGCGCCACCCTGCTTGCGCCCGTCTGCCCGATCACACCGAAATATCATGTATCCAGGTGGGATGAGTTCTGAATCATAGATAGAATTGTTGCATCCTGTTTGTGTTATTGCAAAAATATCATAACTATGGGAAGAAATTCCCACATAAAAATCGTGTAATTTTGTTCTCAACCCTCTCACGTTCTGATAGTATATCTCCAAAAAATTAAGTGGTTTCTTATTACTCATTGGGTGGTTTACGAAACCACACCCATTCACAATTCAATGCTGAACTTTCTGTAACACCTATTATAAATGACGCATAGTCTCGTTCCGTCTTATGTTTAATTTTTCCACTGTTATTTCCGTGTCTTTTCCACAAATATTCTTTACATGTCCTTCCAAACTTTCTACTGTAGTATCCTTTTTTAATCGCCAAACATGTAATTTTTTTCCTTTCAGTAGGTACCTTGAATATTTCCTGTACTAGTATTTCCTCCTCTTAAGACTTGCCTCTCAGGATATTTCTTTTTCTGTTACTGTACAGTTATCCATGATCCTTTATTTTTGCTAGTTTCCATCTTATGTTCTGTATTATCTGACGATAGTTGTTCTTTATCAAAATTTTCCGTAGCGGTTTTTATATTACATGTCGGTTTCATGGCCACGCATGCCACTACATGCTTATCTTTGTTATTATCTTTGTTTACTGGCTGATTTTTGCTTAGTACCTGCTTTTCGTTTTGTGTGAGTACCTTTGCAAATGATAAAGTCTTCCTTCTGATTTTCTTAACTGTCTCATGTCTTTCTTTTGTAGGCTGATTTTTGTTCAGACAATTCTTTAATTGTTCATTTTTTTGCTCCGATGTTTTTATTTGCGCTTCTAATTCATCGACTTTGCTCGCCTTTTTCTGCACTACTTTCATAGTATCTCGTAATTTACGTAATTCTGTTTCGGTATCAACAGAACTGTCTTTGAGCAAATTATTTAATATTATTATAATTATTTGCTCATCTATTTTAAAGTTCATCTCAAATCGAAATTCTTGCAATTCTTGCAGTATTTTACTACTGATATCCACTTCTATAACTTCCTTTGGAATTATCTTATTGCCTCGGTCTAAGTTTACATAGCAAGGGGTAGAAGATTTATTCATTATATTCTGGTTACCTCGAACTGGTGAGTCCGAATTATCCCGCTTCGATGCACTACAAACACATCTCCAATTGCACTTGTATTCTTTGGTAAATGCTTCGTATATATCCTTCGTCAGAGCCAAGCACTTAAGATGGTACAATTTTTTGCATCCATCTTTTGCACATTCCATGTACGAAATGTCGTATAGTACGGCATCGCAGCCTTTAAATTTTCGACCCATTTATTTGAAAAATACACTTTTTCCGCTATTAATTATGTTCAACCGATTACACGTCCGTTCGCTCGTGCTTACGCGACGTACGATAGTGTATACGTAGTGTATGCGTGTGAGTAACAATAAGGCTACTAATTCAGTAATAACAAATTTATTTAATAATTGAGTTACACATATACATATACTCGTAAAGCGACTTGCGAGCAGTTGCTGGACATCTTTTAACACAAATTATTATTTATACTGTATTATTTGCATAAAAGTATTCTTTATTACGTTCTAAGATTTTCACTGTTATGCTCCGTCTTTTCGATTTTTGTCTATGGCAAAATCCAACAACTGTGAATTTAACGATTGCACGTGTGTGTTCCATTTACACTGTTCAAGTTTCTTGTACTCTATTCAAAAATGGCAATAATTGAAATCAATAAATCGCGCGCAATAATACCATTCAAGAATTTAAAATAATTATTTAAATGAGTTTGATACATTTTCTATATTATGCTAGTATTATACACAGGTTTTGACAAGTAATTAATGCAACAGTTGTCAGTTTATACAAACATTTAAGAATGGAGGGAATTTCAAAGTTTCACTTGTTTAAGCAGTTACTTGTACTATTTTTGAAGATTTTTATTTTATAGGATAGGGTGACAAACGATCAGACAGTCCACCTGATGGTAAGTGGTTGCTGCGACCCATAGACATCTACATCTATCATCGATTACAAGTCAAAATGCAGATGCGTTGTCACCCGTGAGGACTAAGATGGAATGTCTCGTTTCCAGTACAAAGGGTCTCCGGTTCTCTACACTCACCATACGAATTGAGTATTAATATTTTTTTTGTTTACTGTAAAAGATTGCACGCCATTATCATGGTAGAATGTAAGGTCTCGTTAATAACTAAAAACATCAGATTATTATGTACTACATTCTAGCAATAAATAAATTTGAATTTGAAACACAGCAGTATTAAGCTACTATTTTACGCTGGCATTCCGTGAGAGCATGGTCCTTCCCCGGTCGATTCGTGTTACAACTATACTACTAATATAACAGCAGCATGGCTCTACCACGTTACACCAAGTGTCGTATTTCCGACGTAATTTTTTTGTTCAATTTTAAACTTTTTTATCTATAAGTTGATTTCGTTATGCGCTGTTTACACTAAGGATAGATTTGATTTCAACTTGCCCTGTCGGAGCAAAAATATTAACATTATATAATTAATATTAATATAAACATTGCTTTGTCTAAACATGTTAATTAATCATTGCTTCAAATTTATCATATGCAATGGGCAGGAAACTTGAACGATGTAAATGAGCCTTTTCGCTAATGAATCATCACTTTCACTTAATACTTGCCGTGGTAGTTCAGATGGTTGGCGCTCGCTATAAATTTCACAATACGCGAGCAAACCGGGTTCGATCCCCGCCGGCACCAATGAAATTGTTAATTGCAATTTTAAGTGCTGATTTACCACGTGCTCGGCGGTGAAGGAAAACATCGTGAGGAAACCTGCATGTCTAAGGAATAAGATAAAAAATATTTCGAAGACATGTGAAGTTCGCCAACACGCATTGAGGCAGCGCGGCGGGCTATTCTTTGCCCTAAAACCCTCTCAGAAATGAGAGGAGGCCTGTGCCCAGCAGTGGGACGTATATAGGCTGTAACTTTACTTTACTTTACTTAATACTTACTATTGTCAGACAGGACGTTGGCTTTTTGTTTGATGCAACCATCGAGATACTATGTGCAACCCATTAATTTATATAATGCAGTGGCGTTGTAAGAAAATCCGCGACCCCGTATCGTCCCGTGGGTGTCGTAAGAGGCGACAGAGGGAAATTAAAACCAATGATAGTCAGCAGCACGGGAACGTGGTAGAGCCATGCTGCAGCTATACTATGGCTGTAGCACGAATGGGACTACTCAACCGGGACAGGACCACGCTCTCACAGAATACCAGGGTAAAATAGCAGCGTAGTGCTGCTGTTTCTTATGGTGAGTATAGAGAACCGAAGACCCTTTTTACCGGAATTGAGGCATTCCCTCTTAGTCCTCGGGGGGTAACGAAGCATTTGCATTTTGATTTTTAATTGAGGATAAATGTGGATGTCTATGATCCACAGCACCCACTTACCATCAGGTTGACTGTGTGCTCGTTTGTCTTCCAATGCCATAAAAAGAATCTTCCTGATCACATTATAAAAGTATAGTAGCTATGACAAAATCCTCCCTTTGTTGCGATCTGTGGGAGAGTTCAATGTTCAGAAGTAAATATTTATTAGCTGAATGGATGGAATGGATATTGTTTCTATTTTATAGTGCGTTTTCTCATGACTAATAAAGCATTGAATCTAATAATAACATCTACAGAAATATTTTCAAGAAAATCGCCGACTTTCCAAGGCAATTGTCGAGGCCCTGCAAGACTATCGCTACGACGAGGAGTTGCTGTTCGACTTGAAGAAGGAGAACCAAGTCTACCTCAACCGCACTATGTCACTCATCATCAAGTACATAGTAAAGAGGTGAATTATAACAACAGAATAATAAGTAGAAAATAATTCTATTGTTGATTGTATTAAGAGGTGAGAGTAAGTCAGCTCAAATTCTAATTTCGGCTCCACTTCCCCGCGCGTCGTATGCTATGTACCGACATGTTTGTAATCACTAATACTCTAATTAGATAGGTCGTTAGACACTTATTTCATTAGGTTTATCATATTTATGCCTGTTTCTTAACGCCAACCCAGTCGCTTCTTATTTTTATGACGGTTATTTCCCATTTTAATTTTACGTCTTCCTGTTGCGTAATGTGTTTTCTGATCGTAAGCGACACAACTTCTCCCTTCAAAAGCCGGAGCAATACTAACGGAGCGACAGGAACCAAGCTTACGCGCCGATAGTTTAGGTAATTTCTTTTTACAGTGAAAATAATGATATTTTAAAAAAAGTAAATAACATAAGCACTGCTTTATGGTTAGTTCAGTTAGTATGGAAAGTTTCATGATCTTATTTAAAGTATTTTATGAATAACAGCGGTTTATTGTTCAGTTTGGAGGTAACTTTGGATTTTTTTTCTATCGAGAAAATTTTACGGAATCGTGTTTTCGTCTAACATAAACCTTAACATTAATCCTCAACTTTACCATATATTTATTTCAAAATTAATGCTGCAATACTTTCGGCATAACGGAGGATCTTGCTAAGCCATTTGAGGTTATATTTCCCCTTAAGCAATGATGTTCGCATAGTGTGACCTCGAAAATGGATCTATAGCAAATTCTTTATAGTCACCACACTGAATTATCTATGACCAGGTATTGGCTTATTTTTAATTAATCTGTGATCCATAGCCGTAAGGGCCGTGGTAGCTCGGAGGGTTAGCGCCCGCTGTAAATTTCACAGTACGCGAGCAACCCGGGCTCGATCCCCGCCGGCACGATTTACCACGTGCTCGGTGGTGAAGGAAAGCATCGTGAGGAAACCCGCATGTCTGAGAAATAAGAGAAAAAATTCTAGGACGTGTGAAGTTCACCAACACGCATTAAGGCAGCGCGGCGGACTCTTACTTCCCCTATAACCCTCTCACTTTACCTTACACTTTATAATACTCTCACTTTTTATATATATATATATATATATATGGGGTGCTTTCGTTACAAATTACGAAGTTTTTACAATTTTTTCTAAACACTAGAAGTTCAGATTCGGTTTTCTTTTCAAGGCAGTTACCAAAAGGTTAAAGTTAAAAAAAAAGTTAAAATTACAGCCTTTATACTTCCCATGGCTGGGCACAGGTCTCCTCCCATTACTGAGAGGGTTATAGGGGAAGTAAGAGTCCGCCGCGCTGCCTTAATGCGTGTTGGTGAACTTCACACGTCCTAGAATTTTTTCTCTTATTTCTCAGACATGCGGGTTTCCTCACAATGCTTTCCTTCAATCAATAGTCGAGGCTCTAATACTGCAGGACTTGATTCTCCCTCGTTTTTGAGAGAACTTGTCATAATTGTTACACCTAGCAGGTAGAATGAAGATCATAGTACCTGAGGTGTCATACTATTACCGCTGCTGTATATCTCCTAGGGAGCAATCATCTTTTACGATACCCACGGGGTGAAAATGAGGAACAGTTTCTCTTACGCTACAAACACACAACGAGGCCTCTACTATAGACACCCAAAAAGCACGATGTGAGGCCACTAGATCCATGGACTACCTGAATGTATCTACAGGTCATTACTCCATCTATTGGAGGGTTGCCCAACACTGCGCTTGACGGTACGAAACTACAACCCTTTCTTCCCCATTGGATGTCATCCCGTTAAGGTATATTTCAGTTCCCACTGCCTCGTTGGTCTAGTGGTTGTAGTAGTGCGACTGCTTATCATGAAGTCCTGGGGTCAATCCCGGGTTGGGACAAAAAATCAATAATTGATTTTTCCGTCAAGAAATTCTCAGTAGCTGCCCGAAATCAGGAAGTTGCAGGTGTCTCACTCCCGTGCCTCAGAAAGCACGTAGAGCCGTTGATCCTTTTCTCTGGTCGTGTTGGTTTACCATCCTATTGGATTATGAGAGTGAGGGAATAGAGAGTGCAACCTATACTTGCACATACACTTGGGCACTATAATCCTGTCCTGTGCCGATGGCTAGTGTCCGTTAAGGCTGGCCAGCGTGATCAAAAATTCAGTCTGGAGGACATTACTTTATTTCAGTACGCGCCAACTAGCATGTATTTTTTGAACGAGTAACTCTTTATTTTTTTGTGAGTTTGAATATTCTCACTTATGCTACACGTAGCATGGAGCAGTCACGATGAAGGTGCGAGATGTCTGCTACTGCAGTCGTCAATCAGCTTGCTAAGCGTGACGGTTTTCGTCCAGGTTTCTCCGGATTTGCACTAGTTTTAAGGGACTCAATTCTTGTACGAGGATCACCTGATTAATTGGATGATCAATAATTAAATTATAACAACCTTAAAATCTGAGAGGGTTTGTAGAGCCGTGGTAGCTCAGATGGTTAACGCTCGCTGTATATATAACAGAACGCGAGTAACCCGGGTTCGATCCCCGCCGGCACCAATGAAATTGTTAATTGCAATTTTAAGTACTGATTTACCACGTAATCAGCGGTGAAGGAAAACATCGTGAGGAAACCCACATGTCTGAGGAATAAGAAAAATATTTCGAAGACATGTGAAGTTCGCCAACACGCAGCGTGGCGGACATTTCCTTGCCCTAAAACCCTCTCAGAAATGCGGTGAGGCCTGTGCCCAGCAGTGGGACGTATATTGGCTGTAACTTTACTTTTTTTACTTTAACCTTAAAATATCCTTTTTATCTCTCAGAAGACGTTTTAACTATATAATTTATTCCTGACCCCTGAGCTTAATTGAGATTTCGATATTACTTAAAGATGCTTGAATTTTATATATATGTACAGATTAGTATAAGGTGTAGGTATAGGTAGTTATATATTTCATGCGTTTTGCTGTAATTTATGACGATTTTGTCAAGCATTTCTAAAACAGCAAACATGAAAAACAAAAAATAATTAAAACTATGTTTATGCGATTATTGTTAACATTATTGTCACAGTGTCCTGTAAAAAACTTGATTTCAACTAAATGTCCGAGGTTTTAAAGTTCTTGCCCGGCATCAGCAAATTAGATGATGACAAACCGAGGTCATGTCAAACACAGTCCTGTGAGGTCCTACTTATTTTTACACATGATACATGACCATTTTTCACTAGGCGAAAGTCAATATAGTCAACTTTAGTAAAAAATGCATACAAAATCTACATTAGTATGTCTATTTGTCTAATCTAATTAAATTAAATATTTTTCAATTAACAATTTTGCGTCCTTCAGTATTTTACTATCTGAATGTTTTTCAGTTAACAATTTTGCCTCCTTCAGTATTTTACTATCTGAATGTTTTTCAATTAACAATTTTGCCTCCTTCAGTATTTTATTATCTGAATGTTTTTCAATTAAAATTTTGCCTCCTTCAGTATTTTACTATCTGAACGTTTTTCAATTAACAATTTTGCCTCCTTTAGTATTTTACTATATGAATGTTTTTCAATTAATAATTTCGCTTCCTTCAGTATTTTACTATCTGAATGTTTTTCAATTAACAATTTTGCCTCCTTTATTATTTTACTATCTGAATGTTTTTCAATTAACAATTTTGCTTCCTTCAATATTTTACTATCTGAATGTTTTTGATTCATGATTGTTGCGTTGTGTTTATTTCTTTGCAGAGAGGTCGACAACTACAGATCGCGTCGGACCGGCGCCATCAGCCGTCGCATTTATTCGTCGCTTATTATGAAGCTGATTGATATCGCAAAGGTGTTTTTGTTTATTATTTTCTGATTGAGATCCTATCCTGGTAGGTTATTTTGAATACTTCTTTAATAATTGCACCGTGAACAAGATATTTTCTATACAAACAATTACAATAGTATTTTTATTTCACGATGGTGGATTGGTCTTACTTGGAGTGTAGTACATTGTTTTGGTGTGCGCTAACTTAATAGTTAGGAATAAATTATATTATTATGTTTAATTACGATCTTACGACGAGCTGACTCTTACTTTACTACTACTACAGTTACGCATACAAGCACGCGGGTCTCTACACTTAGCAACTACATAGGCTTCCCCGTCTCCATGAAATAAAAAATATTATTTAGTAATTAGTGAAAAATAACCCTATTACTAATAAATTGATCCTTGTAACTATATTATTTCTTCATTATTATATAATTATATTCTTTTTTAATTTTTATTAATGTATCGATATTGGTTAACACTAAACGAACGTACACGATTATAGACACTTTTTACGTGGAAACTACACGTAAATTGAACCATGTAGTAACGGCGTAAGACAATCCTCTGCTCCAAGTCACCAAAAGATTTTTTATTTTGGTTATGATGAAAAAACCATCCGAAAAATTCATCAAATTTGGTCATGTCACTCGTTACCTACAACCTTACGAGAACATTGGTTATGAAAAAAACTATCATCTATTATTATTTTATTATAATATCCCATTCATGTTTCGGAAAAACTACTTACAGATTGATGCAAAATTACGTCACGTTTTTATTTCAAATTAATTTAATTTCTCTTACAAGGACTTGCCGCGCAACACTAGCGCCGCCAATCGCATCGACACTGCGCACAGGTACTACACGAGCGTGGAGAACAACGACACCCACGACAAGATGGCCGACACGCAAGTGTTCCATGCGTGCGCGCGTCTTTACGACGTCATGTTCACGGTATGCTATTTCGTCAGAATTTAAGTTCAATATCATCCTGCGAATAAACCATCTCTGAATCCAAGCATTTCCCAAAATATGAGGAAAAACTAATCTTCATATTTAGCACTAGAATTTAGTGTTTGACTCTATTTATATATTCATTACCTTACTATGTCATATTCAATTTCGTCCTCCATGGTGGCACTACACCGGAGGCGTTGAGCAGATCGTGTAGTGTTTTTGTTCTTCAAGAAAGGCGACATCGCTCTATTGAAGAACTATAGACGTATTTTCCTTCTGAACCGCGTCCACGTGCTGTTTTCGAGAGCCATTACAAGTCATCTCGCACGCAGAATTGACGGCTTTTAGCCTCCCGAACAAACCGGTTTCTGAAAAGAATTTAGTATCATAGAACACATACTCTTCGGAAAACTGTACAGAAGACCTAAGGCAACAATAAGCCACTTTGACTTGTGTATGTGAACTATGAGGAAGCTGTCGAAATTTTGGCAGTGCTGCAGCCCCTTCAGCGGTGCCAAATTGACTGTCAGTATATCAAGGTTCGAGGTTCTAGTGTTTTAGACTCCAACCTCACATGACATTAAGTGGTGATGTAGCCGAAGACGATGGAGCGCACTTACATCGCTTTACAAAAGTCTATCCACCCACATTGTAATCTGATAAGACGGACGCTGATAAATTATTTCACTCCTTTGCTGTTTGCATTATGAACCACAAAGAAACCCGTTTGAATCCAAACCAAACCAAAACTAAACCCTAAAAAGAAAATGAATGAATTACACAGTTCGTTTTCTATTTTATCAGGCACCGAGGATATTGGCGCAGTTGGGTAACTTGGAGGACTTAACTCCAAGACTGCTCACAAAACATTTGATGGAAATGCAAATAAAGCCAGTGCATCTTGGTGTTGCTCTGCTTATACAAGTAACTATAAATTAACGTCCTACTAGAATAAAATAATTTTGATCAATATAGATTATAATATTTATTAATAGTAATAGTAATATTTTACTTTTACCACTCGTAATTAAAGTTTAAAAATGCTAGGCAAAAATAAACTATTGTATACAGTCTGATCACACTAACTGGTGTATTTTATTACAATAAATATAAATATGATTAACTCAGCTAATAAGTCGTCAATAAATATTTTAAGTTTTCGATTATTGCGTATACATCTTTTACTAAGACAACACTAGACCTACTAATATTCTTTTTGTCATAGAGTTAGCACATGACATAATATATCTGTAGACTGTAATGTGGAGGAAAAGCACCCGGTCCCTGATTACACATAACAGAGTGTCCGGTAAGTAATATATATATATATATATATATATATATATATATATATATATATATATATATATATATATATATATATATATATATATATATATTTATAAGAAGAGGGGGGCAAACGAGCATGTGGCTCACCTGATGTTAAGTGACTACCGCCGCCCATGATCAACCGCAACACCAGGGGAATTGCAGGTGCGTTGCCGGCCCTTTAGAAAGGAGTAAGCTCCTTTTCTTTTCTCTTTTTTTTTCTTGATCTATATATATATATATATATATATATATATATATATATATATATATATATATATATAGCCCCGCAGGTATTAGTGGAGGGCACCTCGGCCACTCAGAAAAAAATAAAATAAAAAATATATCAGTAGCATTCTGGAAAAAATTACTTCTTTTAAAGTATGAAATTTGAAACTTCCGTTCAGATTATAAAGTACTACTGCTACAAATTCATTAATACCTAATTAAGTTATTAAGTATATTCCGGAAGGGTGATTTTCACAAAATTTTATAATCATTAAAGTTACTAAAATCACTTGCAATTAATTACATTTCGAGTACCTAATTATGTTCAAATGTTGACGAGAGTTCGGAAAGGGACAAGCGGGCCTCAAGCTTAGAGAGCTGACCTACAATAGTTTATTACCTGGTGCGTGAGCACACGATCGACAGGTTTCTTATTGTGAGAGAGATAAGCAATAGAGAAAGAGGGATAAATGTAAAGGAAGCCTCATTAAATTTCTTGATTTTTCATTAGTCCGTGTCCGTGTCCAACAACCTGTGTATGTGGAATCAGGGACCAATTGCTTGTCCTTAATTACTTTTTATACAAAATGCTTTAAGATTTCTACTAAAATCTTAACAAGAAAACAATAAGATTTCATTCAGATAATTATTAAAATCAGGTGCTACTTTGTTGGAAACCATTATATTAAAGATGGTATAATTTGCTTGCCTATATTCTCTCAATGAAATAAAATTTTCACACTAGTTTGTAAAGCACCATCCGCTCTCCCTCGTGAGGGCGGGAGTTATACTTTCTGATGTTGTAATTTTTACCATTTTTAAGATTTTATTAATTCAATTAATTAAGAAAATTTCACTAATTTTATATATTTTTGTGTGAACTCAGAAACCACAGCTTATATTTGTTTCTTTTATCTTTAACACAATGTTGTGTGTTATTTTAAAATAAGCTTTACAAATTATTTACTAAATCCTTGTAACTAATTAACTTCGTTCCTCACTGAACTGAGAACTGAAGGACCACACTTTATTTTTTTCTAAATTTCAGAATTCTACTATTGTTTCAAAAGTATATACGTTCTACAATTGTTTTAAAAAGAATAAATTGCTACGGATTTAGTAGTAGACCTACTAAATCTTTAACAATTTATTTCGCGAACCTCCGGCTTGGCCCCTCAGTGCTCACACACACGTCATCCCTTTGTTCCCAGGGCTTATTATCAACAATGTACCCATTAATATTATAATAACTCCTTTCATACCACCTTTATTTAAATTTTCTTTTTAACTTGATACTGTATAAAAGTGTCATGAACAATGAGTGCCATTATGCAACATGACAAGTTTCCAGTAAATTAGAGAGAAAAAAAGAGTAATGGTATAGTAATATGGTAGAGCCATGCTGCAGCTTTATTATGGTTGCAGCATGAATGGGTCGGCTTGACCGTGTAAAGACCACGCTCACACAGAACACCAGCGTAAAATAGCAGCTTAATACTGCTGCGTTTCGTATGGTGAGTGTAGAGATCCGGAGCCCATTTTTTACTGGAAACGCGGCATTCCATCTTAGTTCTCAGGGGTGACAACGCATCTGCGTTTTAATTCTTAATCGTGGATAAATATAGTTGTCTATGGATCACAGCATCCACTTACTACCATAACGTGGACTGTGTGCTCGTTTGTCACCCTAATTCTATACAAAAAACTAAGGAAATTTATCTAGAAACTTTTACTAGGGAAAACCACCTAAATATTGCATCAAATATTGAAAATTTGTTTGCTAAAATCCGTGTAATGAAATAAAATGATTTGTTTTAAGTGTCTTGTGTAAAGAGTAAGTACGTCTTTAAACTAATCTGTGACGGGTATAAAGGATAATGCACACAATTGAGTTGGTTTTCAAACTAGGCAAGGCACATCATTTTATGTTATTACGCTGATCTTAGCTAACTTTTAACATCTTATACAACGTACAACAACGGCACGGTAAACATCTGTGTAGAATGTCTCCGCAAAAAAATTGCCAAGTGGTGTTATAAAGTATATCTGAGGTGTCGTGTTTATAATATTGTTGAAGCCTGATAACTATGCTATCTAGTGGTGAAATCTGTTTTCATTTCGTGTTGAAACATCAAAGATATAATCAAATACATTTTAAAAATTTATAATTTGACCGTTAAGAACCTGACCTAAGACAACGGGGCTTATTGAATCACAGTTTTCGCCTACGGTCGGCAGCTGTCGAATATTGACGAGTGTTTCGAGCAGTGTGTGGCGACTGAGATGACGTCACGCGAGATGAGCTGCGCTGGATGCCGCGGCGTAATTAAGGAAGACGGCGCATTTATGAGATGCACTAAGTGCAAGCAATATTATGATAATTTATGTGCCAATTTTGCTACAGAGGTGTTTACTACGCTGACGACTAAATTTAAGAAGACATGGATATGTTTTGAATGTCGAAGCAAAATTCCCAAAAACGATGATACATACACCGGTGCGTCAACAGCTAAGCCATGATGTGAGTTTTATTAATGAATGCTTAGATGTATCGATGTATGGTTCCGATAATGTCACCTTCCGTAATAGACAGAGCCAGGCACCAAGGGTTATAAAGCCCGACCAGTGCCCACATAATATGGCCCCTGTAGTGCAGGAAATTAAACAAATTCAGGACGAATTCGAATCACGCTTAACTACGAAAATTTGCATGTTACTAACTGAGCAATTTAATGAATTCAAGACAATAGTATTTGATAAAATAAACCATCTTAAATGTAAAATTGATACATTGGAAAAAATATCCAAATAGTAGATCAACGTAACAGTGCACCAACGCAGGGCAGTACAGTAGCGGTGCAAAATTCCGCCAATCCCGCCTTATACTTAGATGTTGGGAAGACAAAGGTAAAAAATCTAACAGGCATACAGCAGAAAAAAAAGGAAGATGCTGGTAAGCCTTATACATCTTCTAAAGTTAAAACAACTACATCTTCTTCGCCACCACCTCCTCCGACCTTTGCTTCTGTGTTGGACGCATCGAATATAAATATACATCTTGACGCAACCCTAGAGACCGCAGATACAGTTGAACAAGAAAACCAGGAGGAGTGGATACAGGTGCGACGGAAACCTGGACGAGCATCACGGCTGGGAGTGCTCCGTGGAACGGCTGCACCTGGAACAACTGAGCTTCGTGCATCTGAGCGGTGGAGGTACCTACATCTCTACTACGTGCAGGAGGGTACCACTGTTGAACAGGTGCGTGCACATTTGTATTCAATTTGCGGTAATAATAATTGCACAGTAGAAGAACTGAAATCTCGGGGGCGCTACTCATCATTTAAGTTGGGAGTACCATTGAAGATTGCTGACAGTATTATGTCACCTAATAATTGGGCTGAAGATATCTGCGTAAAACCGTGGCGACAGTACTTTCGTGACAAAGAGAAACGAGCGTAACCTTGTTGGTAAAAATAAAACGATAGAAATATTATACCAAAATGTAAGAGGATTACGAACAAAAATAATGCAATTCTTCTCGCTCGTTGAGTCATCGGTATATGATTTACTTGCGATAACGGAAACTGGTCTCTACGCATCATTCCAAGATGCAGAAATCGTCCCCCCCCCCCCCCCCGGCTACCAAATACTAACGCTGCGATCGAACAGACGGCCGTAAGCAGGGAGGAACGTGTTTAGTGGCAGCACCCAGTTTTGAGCTGCGTAACGTGCCTACACCGGATCATGTTAACGTGGATGATCATGCGTTTGAATTAACCTGTGCTACAATACACTTAAGAAACAGATTCTTATTTACATGTTGCGTAGTGTACATTCCGCCTCAGACTAATTTTTGAAGAATATATGATTATGTTTAGCGTCATAGAGGATATATGTGTAAAGTACAAAAATAATGTTTTAGTTTTAGGAGATTTTAATCTACATTCAGCCAATCAAGATGTTTGTAATTATTTTGAGTATTTTATGTCCTTCTGTGAATTCATCCAGGGCAGTAGTGTTGAGAATTTCATGGGCAGACATTTAAACTTAGTATTATACGGCAGTGGTATAACAGGTGTGATATCAATGAGTGAGACTGAGGGTTTATAACCGGTAGATGATTGTCATCCACCACTGATGGTCTGCCTGTCAGCGATGGATTTTGAAGAACATGCTACAAAGGACAACAAATGCTCAGGTGACCAGAAACAATGGAACTTTTCTAAGGCAGACTTCAGTTTGTTATACAGTATTATTTCTGTGATTGATTGGAGTGAACTATACACCATTTTTGATTTAGAGGTTGCTCTAGACTATTTCTATCGTACTATAAATAATATATTTAATAACTGTGTTCCTGTTAAAAAGCATAGGTTAGCAAATAGTAGGTATAGCTACCCACAATGGTATTCGATGGAGGTCATTCGCGAAATACAACTTAAATACAAGTTACATAAAAAATATAATGCCAGTGGGTCAAAAGATGACTATCATGCTTTTTCGCTATGTAGAGCGCGAGTTAAAAAAGCAATTAATGAAGCTCATAGTACTTACCAGGAGCGAGCGCAGAATAGTTTTGTGAAAGATCCAAAGGGGTTTTGAACTTTCGTGAAAAATAAACGAGGTGGTATCAATAAAAATAAATTAATTAAGGATGGGCGTTTCTTATCAGAGAGCGAATGTGCAAATGAATTAGCGGCATATTTTCACTCGGTGTATAACTCGGAACCTGCCGTGTTAGACGTAGCGCTCTTTCCGATATTGTTAGAGATTGTCGTGAGGCATTTGAGGCCCCGTTTCTCCATATATTTAATATCTGTCTCAACAGTGCAGTTTTTCCGAATATATGGAAGTTAACCAGGGTGGTGCCGGTACCCAAAGGCAGTAGTGGTACCATTGAAGTAATATGTAATTACGTACTAGAACAGCTATCTCAAACAAAAATGTGCGCTACTCTGTGTTCGCGCGGTTGCTTTTTTTATCATAGAATAAACATTGGTAGAATGATCCGTAGGTAATAGTAGATTGTATTGTTAATAGGTAAATTATATCGGGAACAACATTTAAATTTTGTCATTTATTTTATATTTTATATTCGCTTATTTAATATAATATTATATCACAATTACATTTTAATGATATTTTTATCTGAATATTTTAAAAGGTATCTATGTCAAATATAAAAAGAAACATACTAAATGTATGTTTAACAAAACTTATTAGCATAATATTTAAATTACAAATATATTTATTTAAATTAGAATAAGAGTCATTCATAAATGGCACGCGAACTGGGCACGCGAGAGTTAAAAATTGGACGAATTTATTCCACTTTGACTTTGAAGTGAAAACCTTAAAATAAAATAAAAGAATAATAAGCAGATTTAAACATAAAAAATTTAGCCTAATTATAATAACTTATATTAGTTTCTACAAAAAAAATGTGTATAATAATATATTCGTCCTATATTTAAGTACCCACATAAATGTCGTATCTGAACATATTAATTTCATAACCTGTATTCCATGACACGAGATGGCGTCTTAGGAATAATTTGCTTTATTATTAATTTATAATACTTTTTTTATTGATTAAGTATATTATTAACCGATGAAAAGTAATTCCTTGGTTTTTACTGACATTTGTGCAGTATCTAAGTACACACAACGGCATATTTTTATCAAGAGATTTCTTTTTTTAAATTAACACAACACGTGACAACTCTACAAGCGCCTAGCGAGTGACTGATTAAGGTGCGGTGTATGCACACAGTTGAGTGAAACAGAGTAGCTGAATGCAGTGTCGCCTCTAGTACGTAGTACATAATAGCTCAATGAGTGGTACAAAAGTTTCATATTATAGACCTGTGGCAGTTCTGTGTACGCTGGCAAAGGTTTTTGAGTCAGAATTACATCACTCACTATATACGCAGGTAAGCGCTCAAATTTTGAACGCGCAGCATGGATTTCGCCCGGCGCGTAGCACCGGCAGTAATCTGCTTCATCTGATGTCAGAAGTGGTACCAGCAGTGGATTCGGGAGCACAGGTGGATGTCGCATACCTTGACTTCCGTAAGGCGTTTGACACGGTCGACAACGATACCTTACTCATGAAACTGACGCAGGCGGGTTGTACGCCGAAAACATTGTCATTTTTCGCCAGTTACATGAGAAACAGGAGCCAATTTGTAGACTGGGCTGGTCAACTGTCAGAACCATACCTTACCAGGTCAGGAGTGAGTCAAGGTAGTAATTTAGGCCCCCTGAAATTTGTCCTAATGATTAATGATTTACCCGATGTTGTATGGCAATCAACATGTCTTCTATTTGCTGATGACCTAAAATTGGTGTCAATAGTTAAGGACTCAGCTGACTGTGGCAAGCTACAGGCAGACATTGACAGAGTAGTACAAAGGAGTCATAGGAATAAGTTATTTTTTAACACTTCCAAATGCTCAGTCATGTCGTTCACATATTCACGCCAGCCTCACACATACAAATATAATTTAGATGGAGTAGCCTTGCAGCGGGTAACAGAGGTAAAAGACCTTGGTGTTCACTTTACTTCAAAACTCAATTTTAGGGACCACATTCATAAGATTTGCAAGAAGGTATAGTTTAGGTGTGGTTGCGGGAATTTGCTCTTGTATGGGAAAGTCACCTAGAGTGTAATGGCTTTATATGGAGCCCGCACGAAGGTAAGTACAAATTGATGGTGGAACGGATACAAAATAAATTTATTCGATTTCTTTATTTAAAATTATATGGAGTGTATCCGTTCTACCCATTAATGTACCCAACATTATTTGTTCTAGGCATGGTGGGAGTATAACAAACTGGAGGTTAGGAGGGAGTTAAGTTTGGCAACATATATGTTTAAATTGCTGCGTGGAAAAGTGTATAAGGAGGCGATATTGCGAATGGCTAAGTTGTGTGTGCCGGATAGGTACGTGTGGCGCCGGAAGCGGCCGCCGCTGTTCGCGGTACCGCGCGCACGCACCAACCTTCTAAAGGAGGCCCCACTGACCCGAGTGCTGCACACTCTAAATAAAGTAGCACAGGATATATAGATTTATTCTGCTGTTCCTTGGGTGAATTCACAAAAGTGACATTATATGTGTTGTGTTATAATAGTTGATAAGTTGTATTCTGTACTTATTAAATTAGATAGTTTTATGTGCCTACACTGTCGTATTAGGAATGCCTGTAAAGACAGAGGTAGAAATAAATGAATGAATAAATAAATAAATCTTTTATATAACGGAGTTTCGCAAAATAACACCTGATTATATTAATTATCTTAAATATTGTATCCCAGATGGTCGTTGAGTCACGATGCAGATCTATTACCTATGTCTACAACACGGATAATTCGGCTCGACCGGGAAACGCCACGCTCACTCAAATACGTACCAGCGTCAAATACAAGCATAATGATGCTGTGTTTCGTAATGCTAACGAGGCATTTAATCTTAGTCCTCAGGGATTTCAAGGTACAATTACAAAGTACATTTCTTACATTGTAGAACCACGCTGAAGCTATATTATGGTTGTGGCACGAATGAGTCGGCTTGGCCGAGGTGGGACCACGCTCTGGCTGAACACAAGAGTAAAATATCAGCTTAAAGCTGCTGTGTTTTGTATGATGAGTATAGAGAACCTGAGACCCTTTTTATTAGAAAGGCATTCTATATTAGTCCTCAAGGGTGTTGACAACTCAACTACATTTTAATTCTGAATCGAAGATAAATGTAGATGTCTATAAGCCATAGCCTTTACTTACTACTGTACTATACTGTATGCTCGTATGTCGCCTTAAATGTATAAAAAATATCTACATTTCAAATGGTTATTGAGGAAATATGTAGGCGTTTGTCTATGGGCCACAGCAGCCATTTACCATGAGGTGAACTGTGTGCTCTTTTGTCATTCTTTCTTCTATAAAATAGCTAGTGACATTGAAATTTTTAACGCCTCAAGTTATTAATATGATTAAAATTTCTCTTTACATTTATTTTCCTCTCCAGTATCACCTCAGGAATACCATAAACTTCGCGATACGGTCGAAAATGCTGGAAGTCCTCAGCACGAAACCGCAGGAGGTGGGCCCCAACGTCATTGACATGCTGAAGGTGCTCGCCTCCCGTCTATTGCCCGTGGCCGAACTGCTGGATATACACCTGGCGCATTCTAGTCCAGCGTTTAAGGATACCTGTCCATCTACTTGGCTTGGAATTGTTGATAATAAACAACCTTGATCAAATCATTCGAAAATTATTTCTATTTAGTTTATTAAACATGTCAAAAGCTGAAAGTAGGGTGCCTATTAAGACCCGCGTCCACTAGGCTCGCCGAGCCGAGTCGAATCGAATCGCAGAAAGTTGCCTCCTGCCTCCGATACTATGAAGCTGCGTCCATTAGCAACGAGTCGCGGCGCGTCGAATTGAATCGACCTCGCGAATTGCTTGACGGGCGAATTTCTTCGCCGATGAGATTCGATTCAATTCGGTGCCCTTCAGTCGACGCGGAGAAGTTGATGCTCGCTAACGTATTATTATTAATTTTTTTTAGTTTTTATAAAAAAAAATTTGTTTAAATAAAGATGATTGAAGAACATTTTCATAGAATAAACGACAGTATTGAAAAAATTTAACAGGGCCCCTTTTCAAATCTGGATATAAATGATGAAATTCGCCATAGTTATTTATTTTCATATAAATGTCGTGTATTCAGTATTTGTAAGCACACCGTTTCCTTTTACTATTCTCCTCTGCTTCATCAAAAATTTGAAATAAAAACATCTCTTTATCCGTGCTGTCCATGACGCAAAAACGACCTAATTTGATGAAGATTTTGTGATGTATGAGCGATTCGATTCGATTCTTCAGAGATGGACTTACTAGGAATAAATGCGACTTGCATCGATTCGACGCGTTTCTGCTGTAGTCGACGCCACGCTTTAACCAAATTGTGCAACGCAAAGGAGAGTAATGTGCTTATCAGAGTATATATATTATATCTATGTTTGTTCATTTATGGTACTCTGGAGACCAAACGTGTAAGCCGGTTTTGTAGATAATTACATCGATCGATTTGTTTTAATCTTGTGAGTGGCACTGAAGACACGATAGTAATCAAAAATCAAAATAGCGACAATGAGACGCCATATTGTGTAATAGGGTAGGGTTTATATTTTTATCTTTAGGTATCTCTAATCATTTTGTCATTTTGAATCACCATTTAAGATCTGTAGCCATTGAAGGAAAAGGGGAGATCGCCCGCCGGGGAATGTGTTCTATTCGGGAAGTGGCCAACACTCCGAGTAGTGGTTCGGAGCCTTTTTATACATAATGTTTTACTTCGGAACTTTGATAGCGTGATTTAGGCTTCAATGTGTAACGATTTAAAGTTGATTAGCAACCATTCTCACTTAAATTTTCGAAACGTATAATAAAGCTATGACAAAAATGTTTCAAAATCGCATGAAACATAGTTATTCACTTTTCACTAAACTGTTTTACGCATTCGCGTTTGTAACAAAACTATCTAATCCCTAATCTCTTCAGACACAAGGACAAAAGCTGCTATTTGTTGGCACGTCATCTTCTACCGTTTCATCCTAATTACAACCTACTACCACTAATTAATTTAGGCATTAATCAAATAGTTGTTACTTACTAAAGAGTATATAAATTCCACTGTCAATAAAGAATAAAGTGTAGGTGTTTAAAAGGTAACTAATGATAGAGAAGAATTTAGAGGTCTATTTATTTAAATTTTTAATAGTTCCTAAAATTCATATTTTTTTTATAGAATAGGCTGACAAACGAGCACACAGTCCACCTAATCGTAAGTGGTTTCTGCGGCACATAGACATCTACATCTATCCTCCATTACAAATCAAAATGCAGATGCGTTGTCACCCGTGAGGACTGAGATGGAATGCCTCATTTTCAGTAAAAAGGGTCTGATATGAACATAAAAGCTAAAATGAGGAAAGCTATTGACTCAAAATTATAAGAAACTGGTAAACAATCACGGAAATTATATCTTGGTAGTGGAAAGGTCACATGACCAGTAGTTATGGGCTGCTTTTTTAATAGAAATAGGGTGACACAATCCACATGATGTTAAGAGTATGCTGGCTGGGCTGACGCATTAACGTCTCGGAATGCAAACATCAGCACTGTTAAAAATAAGTATAAGGTCCTTCAAAGGTGTGATTGCCAAGGCAAAGTCAGAACATATCGGCAAAATTGGAAAGAAGCTAGTTCGACTCCTTCTTTATTTTCAACTCGAATCTCGATGACGGGAGAGCACCCCGCTGACCATCTTACAATATGATTGCGACATGCAGAATGTGTTGTTTAAACAGCGCTCGGTGCGCAAAACACTCCTCTCATTGGACGTCAACAAGTCAAGTGGGTCTGATGGAGTCCCACCTAATGTACTGTAGATGTGTACTCCGGAGTTGGCACCGATTTCAACGCGTCTTTTCCTATTCCTATCCTAGTGCCTAGGCGTAGTCCCGAACTCATGGAAGACATCTTTGGTGCACCCGAACCCTAAAAAAGGCGATTGTTCAGATTCGTCTACCTACAGACCTATCGCTATCGCCTCCTTGTTCTACAACATAATAAAAACAATTATCAACTACCAACTCATGAGGTATATTGAGGGTCACCAGCTAATTAGTGACCGCCAGTACGATTTCCGTTGGAGTGTTTTCGCTGGTGATCTTCTGGGTTACCTAACACATAGATGGGCGGAGACAGTAAAGTCCATGGGGGACGCGTTGGCCGTAAGCTTACACCCAGCGACGGCCTTCGATCGGGTTTGGCAAAAAACGCTTCTTTCGAAGCTTCCTTCCTATGAGCTTACGAAGAAATTGTGCAATTGGATCACCAGTTTTCTTGCAGATTGGAGCACAAAGTCGCAGTAGATGTTGCATGCTCCAATTACAAGTTCATTAACGCTGGTGTTTCACAAAGCTGCGTGCTATCACCATTGCTGTTTTTTCTGCATTCATCAATGATATGTTGCAAAGCCGTAGTATTTAATATAATTGCTATGTGGACGACAGCACTGGTGATACTTTATACACCGGCCGTGCCGATATTTATCGGGAAAACGTCGCCGAGTATCAGCACAAACTTGTGTCTGAAGTCAAGCCCTGTTGAACAAAGTATCGGACTGGGGGCGACTAAATCTAGTCCAGTTCCACCCCTAGAAGACAAAAGTTTGTGCGTATACCGCTAAAATACCCTTTGTCGTATCTCCTTAGTTTCTCGCACTTACTTTACTTATTCCCCTTGTTGCCTGAGTCAGCATCGAGTGACTTGCATTTTCGTTGTCACTTGGAAAATACTTTGAAAAGACGTGCTCAACAGGGCGGGACAGTATTTCATGCCGGCATATCTCCTGCAACTTTACAAGGCGCAGGTTTAGCCTCACATGGAATACTGTTCCCAGCTCTGGGCTGGGGCTCCCCATTGCTAGCTCCTTCCATTTGATCGCATCCAGCGCAGAGCTGTTCGAACCGTCGGCGACCGAGCACTTTCTGATCGACTTGACTCACTGGCACTGCGAAGAGATGTTGCATTTCTTTGTGTATTTTATCGCATCTACTATACTCGGGGAGTACTCTGAGGAATTGTTTGAACTAATTCCAGATGCTCAATTTCACAATCGCACATCGCAACAAAACTCGCGATACCATCTATTCTGTACCATCTGAATGATTGACGGTCCACCACTCTGCGATTTAAAAGAAAATTTCTTCCCCGAACAACTTCCTTGTACTTGACTACCACCAGAGATTTTTCCGGATCGATACGACTTAAGGACCTTAAAGAAAAAATCCTCTCTTTTTTAAAAGACTGGTAACGCATCTGCGATTCCTCTGGTCTAGCAGTTGTTCATGGGTGACGGTAGTCACTTACCATTGGGAGAGTCACATGTTCGTTTGCTAAGTCCGCCCTTTGTATTCTTTTGTTTAAGGATGCAATAAAAAATAAAAGAAAATGATAATCTGTATCCATTGAGGTATTATTATACGTTAGTAATATAGTTCGATGTCTGTATCCAGTTTTTTTGTATTTACTGTTTCTGCTGAAAGTAGCCTAACGGCAGGGCGCGGATAGCGAACTCAAAAGGTTGTGGGTTCGAATCCTCCATTTGACTACTAACGAGAACCGCTCCTAACACAAGCGTTTCAAGCTTACCAGGAGCGGTTAAAAGGAATATTAGTAATGTTAATTAATAAGAGTATTAATATGTAAAAAAAAATAAAATAGATATTTTATTCACCCGTGCAGAGACATATCAGGCTTTAAAATTTTGATATTATTGAGATAATCTACTAAAATATCTATTTTGTAATGTACAGCTATTTGCTAGAGTAATTTTAGATTGCAGATAAAACTTTTCACTTAGGCACAGTGAATGAACTACCTTAACGTCGATCAAGGTAATAACTGCGGTGAATATGACCTTATCTAGTTAAGTAGCTGTTTATCGATAAAATATCGTCTGATGATTTTTTGTTTACTAAACAATTCTAATCGATAAAAAATTGTTCAATTATCTACTACTAAAGACCAGAAGAAACAGTATTTGTTTTACCATAAAAATATTTTCTGGGTCTAGGCCCTTGTCAATGTGTTATGAAGAATGAATTAATTTCCACAAAATAACTGTTTTTTTAATACTATGTCTTAGCAGCTTTGAGTATTCAACCAAAGGAGACGGCATCGCAAGGCATACCCTTCTGTAAAAGGTACGAGAGTCCAACTCATACTCGTTATATAAAACTAGTTGCTCCGCGTCGTGCGTCATTCCGAAGTGATCGTGCCAGTAAATCGAGCTCCGATAAAATGCCGGATTGCAGTGTATTTACATGAAAAAAAAAACAATCAAAAACGTCAAGTATACAAAGGACAATGTGACTTTTCATCTGTGAGTATTTTTAACATAATATTAAAGTAATTTTATCATTAAAACTCGTACTTTGTGAACATTTTCGTCCAATACCAAGTGTGGCCATCATAGTTCATAAGTGAAAAATAATCTATTTTTAAATAAATATAATTTACTACACAAGTTAAATATATTAACGAAAATATATTTCCTAATAACAAAATCAGTTTGTGATGAATAATAATCACTACATATAAATGTGTAGTGGATTTTGTTAAATTATTTATATATTCAGCACAAATTCAACAAGATATTGAATATTATATAATTTAATATAGTC